TATATATATATATATATATATATATATATATATATATATATATATATATATATATATATATATATATATACACTATCTGTTCTCTCTCTCGTCATTATTTTTAAATGATTTATCTTTTAGTAAAAAAGGTTGGTTAACACTTTTTTTTTTAACTTGAAAGTTTTACAATTTTCAAAGTTTAAATTATGGTTTGCAAACTGTCTGTTTGTATATGTGTGCTTGTAAAAATAAGCTTAAATATTTAAACAACCAAACTACACTACTATACACTACAAAATAATCAAACTATAATTTTTCTTCTGCAACAGTTATCAGCACAACAGCAGTGTGGTAATATAGAAACAAGTTTTGATGAGTTTGGGCTTCCTGTTTCATCAATGGAACATTTACAAAAACTAGAAACAGATTGCCTTGACAATGACCTCCCAGGATAACTTGTAAGATATTTGTTATAATTGTTTAGTTCCCTTATTCAAATTACTTTAAATTTATTACATAGTAAATAATATCTTTTAAAATTGTTTTTTTCCTTTTAGACCTTTTTTAGTCCCTTTAGTTATTTAGGTCAGTGTGGCGCAGGTTTGGCATTAAAAAAACTGCTTAAAAATAACCCGCCTTAAAAAGCCCAATAAAACCTGGATAAATCTGAGTGTTATTGAGTTTTTTAAAGATATTTAATAAGTTTATGAACTGTTATAACCAACTTTAACATTATTAATTATAATATTATTAACTAACATAATTATTAATTATTATTATTAACTAAATTATTATTAACTAATATTATTAACTATTATAACCAACAATAACAGCTACCACACTAATATTTGAATCATTACTTGAAAATACATTATAACAATTTTTACTAAAATATTTTTATCAGTTGAGATTTTTTAATCTTTTATATTATTCACCTCCCTAGGTGAATTTAAATGAGTATTAGTGGCCAGAGAAAGCCACTACAGTCGAGGAGGCTACCTTGTGGTTACAATCCTCTTTCAACTCTTTAACTCCTAAACAAGTTTCTTCGCAAAGAAACAAGTTCGTTCATTTAAATTTCAAGTTCAAATTTTAATTGAAACTTTAGTTACTACCTCATATTCTATAGCCTTCTTTTTCCCATTTCTCATTGACATTTTTAATTACATAGAATAATACTTTTAAATTTAAATTAAACCAATAAATATAGATTTAACGCAAAAAAAATTTTTTCTATTATAGTTTTAAATTGTATTTAAAAATCTTTTTCAAATTAATTTGAAAAGTTCTTATGAATTATTAAATAACAATATATAAATATATTTTAAATAAAATTAAAGTATTAAATTTCATTTAGTTTTTTTTTTTTTTTTTTTTTTTCAATATCATTGAAAAAAAAACATTTTTATACAGACGAAATAAAAATAAAACCCAAAAAAACCCAAGTTTACCCAATAAAACCCTAAATTATCCACAAAAAAAACACTAAGCCGGTTGTTGTTTTTTTTTAAATCCGGGTTTTTGCCAACCCTGGTGTGGCGGAAAAACTGAATCAACTAAAAATGTTATTAAGCGGTTAATATCAAACAACATAGCAGTAGTTAGTAATTGGGAGGGGAAATATGCCTTTGGCAATAGCAAGCTTTGTCAAATTATAAATAGTGCGTTATTTTTTTTTTTTTTTGTTTTAAAATGTCATTATTTCATCTTACTATTGATGTTTTTTTTATTAATATTTTTTTTAAAAATATCTACTTATAATTTTCATCGTTTTATATAAATGAAAGTAAATGAGTTTATAGTTAATACTTATAAGTGTGTATGCATAATACATGTTTATTTTATTTAGATGCTGTTCGGCGTAATCCTACAACATGTCGCGGTACGGATGCAAGGTTGCTTGTGCCATTAAAGCATGGCTTCGATTCGCGAAATTCGTATGGAGGGAGGAGAAGAAACATCATTTTAACGATTTTAGTTATATAGTTTTATATATAGTTTATGATTTTTTTGTATATGTGTAATAGTTTAAATTATTTTGTAACGAATAAAAATTTAACTAGAAACCAACAAATTTATTAACTTTAATACTTTTATGTAACTTTAAATACTTTTACATTTTCAACTTTTATAATAACGTTAGTTCAATGAGTATCAAATCATCTCAGTCGTCACACAACGCGTTACTAACATTGTTGGAAACAATGCTTGAAGTCTTAGGCCAACGTTAATAAAATGCACAAATGCGAATACAATATAAAACTAACAGTGTGCCAACGCAATGCCAACAACATTGAGTATACACAATGCCGACATAGGCCCGATGGGCAGCCGATCAAATGCCAACGCGATTCCAACCTTTAAACATTATCACGCCAACATAGCCCCTACAAACCCATACCAACGGTGCGCCAATGTTAAGTCAACATTATACGAAATGCGTTATGCCAACGTGTCGCCAACTGTTTTACTTGGTTCGGCCAACGTTGCTTCGACAATTTAAAACCATAAGTGGGCCAACGTTGCGCCAACAATATTAGGTGTATGTTACGCCAACGTAGGCACGATGGGCAGCCAACCATATGCCTGCACGACGCCAACTTACGGCCTACCAAAACGCCTCGTTGGCCCAACAATCAGAAATACGTTGGGCCAAAGTTGGGCCTACTAAGTTGTGCTGCTCGGGAATTGTTTGTGTTCTGTTTTTACTGAGTTTCTATTTTTCATGTCTGATTTTTTTTCAAAAATGAATTATTTATATATAAGAAACAAAATATTAAAAATGTCCAAAAATTATTTGAATAGTTTTTTATTACTTAACCAGTTCAAAGAAAAGAAAATGTTTTTATTTTTATTATCATTTAAAGTTAAAATTTATTAAGACCAACATTAAAAAAAAACTTATTTTTTAGGGTGCGGATTCCGGATTTTTTTTATTCGAGTTTAATGTTACTGATGCTAACTATGTTTAAAAATGCCTGGTCATCATTCCCTGGAAACATTCTGAATATAAATTTTGAACTAAATTTAAATACTTTCCAAAAGTCGTGCATTCTTCTAAAGTCGTTACAAAAAGTACAGACGAAATTAATTATTTATGAGACACCAAGGATACTGTGAGAATAATTCGAATTTCAGCTATTTAACACATAATGGTTTTCCTATTATGAACAAAATGTTATTGAAGAATTATTGAAATCGAATACTATATAAAATATTAAAATGTATTATTTTCATAAATTGGATTATAATATTTTAAATAGCTTTAATAACCAATAATATAAATAACCAAGCTCACAATAAAAAAGTAAAAAAAAAAAAATCTGTTTAGGAAAGTTATTTGATTGGTTGCTACAATCAACGTAAATTTCGTGAACCATCTAAACCAAGAAAATTTATCAGCTCTACCAGTTTAACGAAGAATTACTGATAAAACCGGTTGATATATAAAAAACGAGTTTTCCTTTTCTTTATTCTGCTGTCTTTATTTTCTAACGATATCTTTATTTATTATCGATATCTTCTCCATAAGCTTGCTTCATATGGTGTTTCTGGGAAAGTTTTTGAGATTATCAAATCATTTCTTTCTAACCGGTTTATTAAAGTCATCCTTGAAGGCCAACACTCTTCTTTATTTCCAGTAACTTCTGGGGTTCCCCAAGGTTCCATCCTGGGCCCTGTTTTGTTTCTTATCTACATAAACGATCTTCCTGACAACCTTTCATCTAAAGTAGTTCTTTTTGCTGATGACTCAACTTTATACTCCTGTCTTGACAAAAAGTCTTCTCTTTTCGATCGCGTAGAACAAGCAGCTGATCTTGAATCTGATCTCACTTCAGTAATAGATTGGGGTTCACAGTGGCTTGTGAATTTCAACTCTAAAAAAACCCAGTTGCTTACTGCAAACAACTACCGTAATATGGTCAACATTCCTATATTAATGAATGGCAATCCTCTTACTAAGTCCTCCTCATTACGTCTTCTTGGATTATCGCTTACTACTGACCTTTCATGGAAACCATATATACAATCGATTGCTAAATTAGCTTCTGCTAAGGTTGCTTCTCTTGTGTTATAGTAGCTGTATATTTCAAATAAAACCTTATTTTGCCTAACAATTAATAATACAGATTTATAAAATTTTCTTTAAAATGATTATTACGTTCTCCGTCAACTAAAATGCAGTAAAGCTTCGTAATTTTTTCTCCGTAAAACAAAACGAGTTTTATTAAAATGCGGCCATGGCGCAGTGGTTAAGCGTTTGCTTTATAAGCAGGTCCAGGTTCGAAACAAGCTTTGGACATATTTTCGCGTCATGGTAAAGAAGTAGGCGTGAACTTTCCTGATTAAATGCACTTTCGCGGCGTTCTGTGACAAGGCCGTAGGTCTTCTTGGGGCACCTAAATAACAAAACAAAAAATGAATCAAAAAGGATTTACATAAAAAATGTAACGTTTTTATATTTAAATACATAAACAGTAGAGTTGTGTAACAAAAAACTTAGTAATAAGGCGCTCCAAGAAAACAACGGTTTCATCACAGAACAACTCGGAGGACCATTTAACTAGGAAGTTTACGCTTCCTTCATTAACAATGCTTTTCATAAACAATACCATATTAACGATGTTATCTCGCATTATTAACGATGTTATCTTGCATTATTAACAATGTTATCTTGCTAGGGCCTCTTCAATCTGAACCAGAACTTTAACGATAGCGTTTCTTTAAAATAAATTATCAAAACTTCTTTTACTTTTTGTTTTTAATTAATAAAATAATTTGTGAGGCACAACCACACTCTCACAAAAATTGTTAAAGTTTATAAATTGTAGGATGAAATGATGCTGGTAACACCAATTCAGTTATATCCCTGCATTGAAATCCTGCAAAAGTTTAGAACAGATAACAATCATATATAGGGGAGAGTCGGGTAGCCCTGGACACTTAAGGAAAATACAGATGGTACACATGTGCTAACATAAAAAAAAGTGTCAAAAGACTTTTCTTAAAAGTTCAAACATTTATCTATCGAACTAGAAATAAAATAATAATTATTGCGTATCTTAATAATATACAAAACATAAAAGAAAAAATGTTCGAAAAAAGACAAGTTTGAAAATTGGAGGGTAGTTGCACTTTTGCGTTGCACACTTCTAATTGTGGAAGTCTGTACACTTTTGACAAAACGAGCTCGCCTGAAGAAAGTTGGCACCTTTTGCAAGGGCAGTTCTCACAGTGCAAGCCTATTTTGCACTTTTGCGTTGTACACTTTGGAAGTGGAAGTCTGTACACATAGTTTAACCATGATTTTACCTCTTTCTTTTCCAGTGTGACTCATATGTAATATATAATAACTTAGCATTGGACTATTCTCGACACATTTTTAAAAGAATCGCCTTTAAAAATTGCCTCTAATATATGAGGAATGAGAATAAAAATGTCATCATTTAAAAATATAAACATAAGCTTTTTTATAATGAAAATAAACACTTTAATAACACTTTTTTCAAATCTAATGTTTTTTTATTGGAATTTAATGAACTACTATTATAGGTTTGTGTATTATACTAAATAGGCCGGGTGAATAAAAATGAGCAATTGCTTTTACTCAGTAATTGGTCAGCTTTACGTAAATAAAAACTTCAGGAGTTTTGCTCAAATTTTTATTCAAGTAAAGTTAAGCAATTTACTCAGTAATTGCTCAGCTTTACGTGAATACAAAGTTAAGTCAAATTCTTTATGCTTTTATTCGCGTAAAGCTGACCAATTACTGAGTAATAGCAATTGCTCATTTTTATTCACCCGGCCTAATATAAATTATATAAAAAAAGTTGTTTATTATTAATATTTAAATGAATTAAGTTGTCCGGAGCCACCCTCCAAACATGTGTCCGATACCACCCGATCATACCTCATTCACAAATACTAGTTTTAAAACCAGTGAATTAAAGTTTTAAACTAATTTTTTTTTTAATAACTATTGTAAATAAAAATGTATTTTTAATCATTAAAAAGTTATTACTTTACATAAAAATTAGGTATATTATTATGTGAAACAAATATGATGATACGTCGCTCTTCTTGTGGTAAGAAACAAAATTTTGCCCTCCCAGTCATTCGTTTCGGCATATTATGATAGATATTTTGCATATACCATATTTTCACTCAAATAATGTTATTATATTGTTAAAAGTCACATAGCTTTTTTAGTTTAAGCTCTACATTAAGTGTCCGGAGTTACAGACCGTCCGGGGACTTTCCCCTATTTATATATACATACGTATGTATGTATTTGTATTTTGTATGTACGTATATACGTATGTATGTATTTGTATATTGTAATTGGCACGTATGTATATATGTATATATGTATTTATGTATATATGTATATATGTATGTATATATGTATTATGTATATTATGTATATATATGTATATATGTATGTATGTATATATGTGTATATGTATTTGGCATACGTATTTGTATTTGTATACGTATGTATGTATTTGTATATTGTATTTGGCACATGAGAGTACTGTATGTAAATTTTAGCAGCATGCCAAAGCAACTTTTTGCAACTGAAACCTTTTTAGTATATAGTTAGAATATGTGTGTGTGTATATATATGTATATACATATATATACACACACACATATTCTAACTATATACTAAAAAGGTTTCAGTTGCAAAAAGTTGCTTTGGCATGCTGCTAAAATTTACATACAGTACTCTCATGTGCCAAATACAACGGGAGGTGGGAAAACGGGTGGGTGGGAATTTTAGTCAAAATCTAATAAACGGGGGGGTTTTAATAAACGAGGGGGGGGGGGAGAATGAGAGATTTTTTATGAAATTTAATAAACGGGGAGGGGGGAGGGGGGATTTGTTGTAGGAGGAGGATTTTATCTACAAAATAAATATGCGGGTTTTTTTTGTTTAAAAAAAAAGGAACATCTTCTAGTTCTAGTAAACAGAGAGATAATGTAGTCTCCATACCCCTTCTTACAACCCCCGTTGTAACGTACAAAAATAATTTACCAAAAGAAAATGTACAACTTTAAAAAAGGTTTAATTATCAATATTTATTAACTTTAAATAAAATATATAAAAATGATCTTTTTATTTAAATAGATCGTCAAAAGCGTTCCTGATTGAATCATTTTCATCGCGGTGTTCCACTTCATTTTCTAACTGTTCGTTGTCAAAGGCTTCAAAGTTGTTTTCAATACGGCTTTTTATGGCACGGCGAGATGTTATATAGCTCCGTTTCAATCTTGTAAGATGTGAAATAAATTGGGTAGATGTTTCTGCATTACATAAAAGTTTTCCTAATTCATCAATGAAAACATCATTTTTTCTTAGATCATCATTGCCTGGACATAAGTCACCTAATAAAATGTTGGATGAACTATCGGTATTTAAATTAACTTGATTGTTTTCATCTTGATTTTCTAAAGCACTTGTTTCCAAATTTGTATCGTTTTCCTCGTCTGTCTGATGCTCTTTATCAAGTTGATTTATAAATAATGTTTCACCTTCACAATCAAATATTTCATATCCTTCATCTAGCGGCTCTGTTTCACAAGTGTTTTATCCTTGCTTTCGTTTCACTCCTTTTGGAGGTGTAATTAGCCCCTGAAGATCTTTCAAGTTTCTTGGGCTTGAGGTAAGCATAAGTTTTTTCCGAAATGCTTGAAGCTTTTCTCCCACTAAGGCAAATATTCTTTCCGAAAATAGATAACTCTCGCTTTTGTCTAAAGCATTGGTTACAGTGCCTTAAATCGACTAGTAACATCAATCTCCAACGAATTCCAACTTTTTAGTAGCATTTGGGTCAACCCTTAATTGCTCTATCATAAGGTTTTGCTCCAACTCTCGGTATTTAGCTTTTAAAGGCCTGTGGAAATCTGTATCGTTAATTTGAACGTCCCCTGTAACACCACCACCTATTCCAACGTAAATATACCCTTTCTTTAGTAAGGCAGCTTTGATTTCTGGCATTATATGAACACTATAATAATCTAGAACATAAATACCGTAATTTTGATGTGTAAAAATATTGTGTCTGTTTGGTAAATTAGCTATTGAACTCAGCATATGTTCCAATCGATAGGAACCTTTAGGTGCCCATTGAAACTTCACATCTTGAGGAGGATTAAGTTTAACCCTAACACCTTTGCCTTTAAACACAAATTCTGGTTTAATTGAGACTTTAGGTTCACTGAAAACTTGAGTGTAAACAGTAATTCGTTCTCTTGAAAGACAATAATTTTCTTTGACGTATGTGTCCAAACCAGTAAAGTTCAAGATCTTTTGAGTAAAACTTTCATTTTCGGTGGAGTGGTATTTGGTCACCATTCAGCACAGGTGGATCAACTCCAAAATTTTCAATAAAGTATTTACGTACAGTCCAAATGTTTTTCAGGTACTCAAATATTCTTTCTTCACGGTCAGCCTGCATTATTTGAAAGCGTTTCTTAGGATGGCGCAGACTGACACCATGCTCACTCATCCAGTTATTTAACCAACGGTTTGAGAAAACAATTTTCTTGTTCTCTGGCACCTCTTCTGGTTGTTGGGCAAGCCACTGTTCATAAAAAAGTTTGCATTGTGCCGTAAACATTTTCCTGGGTCAACGTGCTTTAAGGGTTTCACGGATGTCTACAAACCACTCGAATAATAGTTGTCTGACGTCTAGGATGGTTAATTTTCGTCCTCCTCCAGCTTGACGATACTTGATTTGCTTGGAGGAGCAGTTACAGCATCTTCATCTGCCTCAACTTGGTTTAGACATCTTTTCCCAAGTTTTAGGGCTTTTGTTAAGGTTGGATTATCATGCTTAATGTCTTTAAGGTCCGAATAAAACTCTCTTGCAGCTCTTGCGAGGTATCCTTCGCGTGGCAATGTTTTAACGTGTTTCTTTCATTTTTCACTAAAGTTGACTTTTTGAAAGTTTTCAACCAAAGCTTTGTTGAGAAATAAACTAAAAGTTCATTTTTAGCAAATCGAGATTTAATAGGTCGACAATTTGTAAAACCTGTTTACACTGAAAGTTTTTGTTTTTATCGGTGACTGAAAATTATTTTCAAAATTTTCAAGGCCGATTTTCGCTGAATTTTTTTTTTTTTACTTTTGAGATATATAATTTTTTTGTTGATAACAAGTAAAAATTAATAAACGGGGGGAAGGGGGATTTTAATAAGCTTAGGGTGGGTAGGAAAAATATCCAAAAATTAATAAACAGGGGTGGTGGGGGAGGTTTATTAGGAACTCGAGAGTAGATAACATACAGATATCCTCCAGTTTATTGAATCTGCCTAATATTTGGAATACCAATTAAATTTGGAATTGTAAAGATGTTTGACTAAACATTATCACTTGATTGGAAGTTCCATATAGTTAAATACCACTTTGTAGATTTTCTTAATAGAAGTCAGAAACCTCTTGAACTTTTTTCAAAGCAAGATCCGAGGCTGTACATTAAAATTTAACTTGAAAGCGCTATGCAGTCGCAGAGACTAACAAAAACCAAGGATAAAAGCTAAAAAAGCGGCTTTAACCTACAAGCTCTGAGAATTTACATTAATTAAATACATGCATATCCTAATTATATGACTCATTGTTAAACTTGAAAATAAAATTTTTTTTTACTTGGATTTTATTTTGCTTTAAACATGTATAGAACTGACCCAAAAATATAATTCTAGTAGCACGTTAGCCATAAAGATATCAAACCAATGAAGGTATTAATTAGTAAATTAACGACATTTTGAAGACAAAGACAATGGATGATCATGTGGGTTTCTATGATATTTATAGTAAGAGATATAATAATAATAAAATTGTTTAAACTTTCTGGATTTTGGAGAATATCAATTTTGGACTACGAACAACTAAGATTTTATTTTTAACACATTCCAGCTTGTACATATAAATATTAATAGAATCTGAAGAAAATCCTCGTCTTTCTCAACTAAAAATTCTTAGAATCAAGCAGTGCACCTTTAACCCGCAATTTAATAAAGATTATTTTTACCCATTCTAAAAAAAAAACTTATTTGAAAATTTAAAAAAACCTAATACTTATATTAAATTTAATACAAAAAAAAAAAAAAAAAAAAAAAAAAAAAACGTTGGAAATTTTATTTACAATCTTTTTTAAACACTAAGATCATTTGAAACTATTTATAAAAATCATGTTCCTGTTCGTCTTTTTTAATGTTGCTTTTATACCCTTTTTCAAAGTCTTTCGCTAAAACCACATATCTGTTTTCGCGAACAGCTTGCATTCCAGCCTACACATAAAATTGCACAAATACAAATTAAAGTATTAATGTAAAGGAGAAAATATAAAAATTTACCAAAAAACTTAAGACCCCGCTACAAATTGCAATTTGTGCGGTAGCGAGATTATCTGTAATTAATTCCCATCCAAAAAAAAAAAAAAAATCGAAAAAGTTCTTATATATCAAGGATATTTACTGATCTGATGTAAACCTATCAAAATCAAAACCACCTATTACAAAATCAAAGTCACCTATCAAATTCAATAATAATAAAACGAATGAATTATTTTAAAAATAAGAATAGTAGTAATTATAAAAAGCATATAACTATAACGATAATAATAATAATAACACGATAAAAATACTAACTAAATTCAGTTAAATAAAAACTAAAATATTAGAACTATTAATCAATATTTAAAGTGATGTAACGCCACCAAAAAGAGAATAATATTTAAAATATTACAACTCAATCAAAAAGATATCGATCAATAGAAGAGTTAGAACTGTTAATAATAAATTTAATATTTTTAAGGAAATAAAATAGATTAAACTAATTATTAAATAAGAAATAAAAAATTTAGTTAAGAGAAGAAATAAAAGTCAAATTATTGACGCGATTTGCATTGACATTCAAAGAAAATAAAAAATATTAACTTAGCATAAATTTTAATTAGATACATTTTCAACTATTCGTGACAAGTAAGCCATGTTTGGTTAAAAACATTTAAAAACTTCTGTAATTTTGTGACAAAGTTTTACATTCATATTTATAAATAGTACAAATAAATTTAAGTAAATTACAGAAATGAAATTAATAGAACCAATTTAAGCAAGTCAAAACAATTGAATCAATAAATCTCAATACAACAGGCTTAGCACTCTCATCTGCCAAAGTAAACGAGGGTAAGGGTATAAACAAGAGAATTAAAAAAAAAATTTAAAACTTCAAATAAAATTTATCTATTAAACAATATAAATGTAATCTTACCTCCTGTACAATAGCATTGATATCTGCTCCAGAGATTTTATCTGGACGAGCAATATCTTAAATTATTTAAGAAGTTTAAAAACTAATCACTTTTCACTTAATTTCTTATACTATATTATATATTTTTACACTTATACTATGCAAATGTATTTTTATGCACATGTTGTATATTAAATGTTTTACATATCGATGGCTAATGTACAAACTTTATAATCATGCAAACTTTTGTTGTTTATTAGATTTACAATATTTCAAACTACAAAAAATAGAACTATTATTAAAATCTATTTCTTTATAGTAATGTATCTAATAATAAAATGATTTTTTCACATGTAATACTTTTTAGTATTAGAGTTATAAACAGTTAAAAATTAATTTAACTTAAACATAAATAGTAATTTTAAAAAGGTTCTATGACTTTTTCCACGACCATATAAAACTTCATGATATTTCTATGACCAGTGGCACCTTGCAAATGATAAACTAGACTGAGTGGTTTTACTAATACTATTAATAGTTTGATATTTACTTAATATTTAAAAGTATTCTGAGTTTAGTTTTTTTTTACAATATCATAGAGCTAAGTTTTTTTTTTAAAGCACCATTGAAGTGGCTAAAAAAACAAGTAACTTGGTGTCTATATGTAAATTTATGTATTAAAATGAAACATTAAGAGCATTTTGATCTTAAATTTTCAAATTTAAAAAACTAAATAATTATTTGCTGTTACTGATACTTTTAAAGTAAAAAAATTTTGGTTATTTAAAAGTGAAAGTGATGTTTACAATCCATCAATATGTTCTTAATAATCCTATTAAATACTACTTTATATAAGAATTAAATAAGTACTAAAGAATTGAAAATGAGAAAAAGATACAATCTTCTAAATCAACTTCATCAGATAAATTCATTTTTGCAGTTATTGTTGAAAATATAAGTCTTTTCTGACGACGATCAGGCATAGGAAATTCAATTTTACGATCTAATCGACCAGGTCGTAATAGTGCAGGATCTAAAGTATCAGCTCTATTTGTTGCCATAATCACCTATTACAATATCGTCTGTTACATTTTAAAATGACCTTATGGATCACATAACACATATTGAAAATAAAAAAACAAAAAAAAAAAAACAAACATTTTGTATGCTTAAACAAAACAATAAAAATAGTAAACTGTTACCTTGACATTAACATTTTGATCAAAACCATCCATTTGATTTAAAAGTTCTAATAAAATTCTTTGAACTTCTCTATCAGCTAGATTATATAAAAAAAAAGTAGATAAAATATTTTTTTATCTGTTCTACAATGCAGTTATTTACATGCAAAAAAATGTTTTGATGCTTCAGATATGATACTTTTAGATATTATGAAAACTACAAATTAAATAATGTTCACGTTTATTTCAAATGAAAATGTTTTGCAAAAAAATGCGGAGATTGGAGTCCAGGACCAAAAAATCTATCCTCCCTACCTTAAGTGTTTCAAGCTAACTTTTGAAACTATTTTTGTTCCCAGGCTCCAATCACCATAATTTTTTGTAAAACATTCCTATTTGATATATTGAACATATTTAACTTAGAAGTTTGCATAATGCCCAAAGTGTCATATCTGAGGCATCAAAAAATCCTTCTGCCATTCCTGATAATAACAATATCTAATAGTTTTATAAGTTATAACAATTATAATAAATATGCTGCTAGCACACTTATACAAATTTACAAAATACAAATATACAAAAAGTACAAATAGCACTTTTATACAAATTTGCTTCTAAGTTGACATCTTTTTGAAGAACAGATCCATCATTAGGTGCTGAAGAAGTAGTTTAGTTGCAGGAAAAATACAAGAATAAAGTGCGAAAATAGGGTTGAAGATTTTGGGGGCTTCAGTACATACATCTACTAAATTATGGAGAAAACACAAAGATGTTCCGATAGATTGACTGAGGGTTTCAGTTGGGGAAGCAATATGGTTAGGGTTAGGAGAATTTTTTTAGAACTTTGTTCTTGCATTTTACCAGTGTGCTAATGATGCTTGTTTGGACTATAATAAGTGCAGCTGGGTCAGTAGAGACAGTTAAATGTTTGTACATGATCGGTTCATTAAAATCAAAATCATTTTCAAACATATTTTCTAAGTAGGTTCAATTTTTTTTAATAGTACCAGATAAAACTTTTTACTTTCATCAAACCTTTGTAACATATCTAGGGACACGAAGTCCCAAATAAGACTCTGGATTTGAAAGCCACAAATGAATACTTCTTCCTAGTTTTTGGTATCCAGGAGCTCTAAAAAAATAAAAAAGCTTATGGACATGGACAATGGGAAAAAAAATTAAGACTTTTATGTTAGAGAAACAATCAATTTTTGATCCCAAGGTTTTTAGGTATAATAGAAGCAAGGATTCCAGGACTACAGGCTTAAAAACAATAGGTTCCAAATCATGAATTTTCTTCTTATAGCAGATCAACCAACATGTTTAGAGCTTCTTGACACCAGAGACCACAAAAAAATAGAGATATAAAGTCAGAGTCAATTTGGGACTCCGCATCCCTAAATATATCTACCCATAATACCCTATTACCCTTCAGAAGAGCAGCACAGTTTAAGTTGGTATTTTGATGGTAGAAACATACATAAACCAAGTAGCTTCCACTGTCAACTATGATACACTACTTTGGTCTAAGTTCACAGAGTTAACTAAATCCAACTGTCTATTTAGGATGTAAATTCTTAAACTCTAGAAAAAGATCTTTTAACTGAACTAATATTAGGCATTTGTTTTACATTATACATATACTACTTTTTTTTCCAGGGTATTTTTTTGTTAACTCTTCATAAATTTTGATAACTCTTTATTAAACAATATTTTTGAAAGATTGTACTTTTTTAAGGTTTTTAAAAGGTTGCAATTTTTTGGATTTCTTGACAAGATGCTGTGAAACTGTTCTGCAAGTTTTTTCAATTAACCAACTATAAAAAGTTAAGTTAGTAACAACACTTTTTCATCTTACACATATATTTTTTCCTTTAATTAAATTTAAGGTTTGTCAAAATCATTACAGTTTTATGTGCAGTTGTTTATTTCCCAATAATGTATATCTTTATTTAATATTTACCTATATATCTATATATATCTTTTGTCTCTCCATATAATCATTAGGATGTTTCTAAAAACAACTTTTTCTTAAACAGATGTTCTCTAACTGACTGCTTTATATGATAACATAATACATTAAAAAAATTTCTGAATAAAAAATATTTTTAGAGGGTGCACCAAGTCCCTTAAAAACACCAGACAGATCCCTAATAATATATTAATATTATATATAAACTATAGATCCCAAAGTGTCAAGACAAGGTGTATAAATGTATATAAACATTCTTTATAATCATATTATAAAGAATGTTTTAAAAAAATGCATGGACTGAATTTTTTAAGTAAAACAAAATAATAAATGTATAACCAAATAAAAAAACTAAATTTGTAGTTTTACACAAAGCTTGCTGTTTCTATGTTAGTGTGTTTTTAAAGGGATCTTAAAGTGCTGAGACAAGTTGAGTTTATATTAAAGAAAATGATAAAAAAAAAAGTTTGATGTGAATTTTTTTTGAGTAAAGCAAAATATTAAACGCATACCAAGAAAAATTAACTTTGTTGTTTTACTCGAAGCTTGCGGTCTCCATGTTAGCATGTGTATAATTTATTCAAGCGCTTTTAATTCTAAAGAGTTTTAGTAAATGACGTCATTGTAGAATTTCAATAAAAAATCTTAAAATTCTTTTTTTTTTTTTAAAAAGTTTGTTTTTCTTGGTATATGTTTATTATTTTGTTTTACTCAAAAAAAATTTTTTTCAAACATTCTTTTTAATATGAACACAACTTGTCTCTGCACATTTGGAATCTCTTTAAGGAGCTACCAGGTGTTCACCTCTAAAATATATTTTGAGTCTTGGTTCACCTTCTAAAAAAATTTTTTTTTTTAAATATTTTATATCCAGTATTATTTTATTATATAGAACACATTTAAACATGATGCTACTATTATATCATAATTGTTATTAATATCATGTCATATGTTAAAGTATAGGTTTTATGATTTTCTATTTATAGGACTTTGACGATGCAAAATTTCATAACATTTTAAAGCTATTTACGCTATTTTCTATGCTTTCAAAGTAAATGTACTTTATTATTTTTATAATTATCAAATTTGCTTGAAAAATATAAAAAGAATGCAAAACCCCATTATACAACTTTTAAAAAATACCTGAATTAAATACCTCCTGTCTGTGCATCAAACCTTTTAGTTGCAATGGCATCAATTTCATCAATGAAAATAATAGCAGGTGCATTTTCTTTTGCTAGTCTGAAAACATCTCTAACCATGCGTGGACCTTCACCCAAATACTTTTGTACAAATTCCGATCCTACAACTCTTATAAAAGCAGCAGTAGTATGATGAGCAACAGCTTTAGCTAACATTGTTTTACCACAACCAGGTGGGCCATACATTAGGACACCACGTGGGGGGTCAATACCAATTTGTTTATAAAGTTGAAAATGTGTTAAAGGCAGCTCAACAGCTTCACGCATTTCTTGCTTTTGAATATCCATACCTAACAAATAAAAAATTAATTTCTATTTCATTAAAAAAAACAAGATCTAAAATAAAATAATATCTTTTAATGCAGTAAAGAATTAACTTAAACGATAAGTGCATAAAAATAAACGATAAATGTATTATACTAGAATCAACAATAATATTACCAAACTCAATAACTAATTACCAATTAAAAAATAATTTTGAAAATATGAATGGCCTTATTTTTTGTGTCAATGGGTGCCCTTCTTCCCAATATTATGGTCCAGAAGAATATACAAACAAACAAACAGTTTCATTCAAAAAACCTTGAATAAGAAACTTTTATTCTTTTGAAAGTTTTTGCTTAAAGGGATCCCCAAGCATCAAGACAAGTTGTGTTCATATGAAAGATTAACATTAGAAAATAAGTTAAATGTTAATTAAACCTTCCAAAACAAATTATTGAATGAAATATTAACAAAAGCATTTGCTGCATTGCCATTATACTTCTGGCTGAAAGCCTAATTTTAAGCTCTCAAATCTCCAAGTTTTTTCTGATAAAAAAAACATCTGGTTTCAATAATAGATAATTTCTCTCACTGCAGAGTTTTTTAAACAGTTCAGTTTTACATAATCAGATTGGATTTCCCCTTTAAAAATAGTCTTTACTGTTGTTATAAAAAACGTTCACTGTAGCATGTTTTTGTTTTTAGTTCAACATATTGTGAAGTGTTTAAGTTAGAATAAACTAGCTTAATAAAAATAGTAATTAATCAAAGCAAACTTATTACTTTTATTAAAAAATACAGAAAGTATGTTTTCTTTTACAATATGCAATTTATTTGTACTATTTATTACTAAATCACAAAAATAAAATAGTATTTTTGTGATTGAATTTATATTTTATTATATTAATTTATAATTATAATTGAAAATACCATTTTTAAAATGATCTAATATATATTTATTATATTGGTATTAAAAAATTGAATCTTATATTTTTGTTTAATCGCAAAAGGGAATCAAAATAGTGGCTAAAATTAAAAAAAAAAAAACATGCACACTTAAGGAGATGCAAGGCCAACGCTTATAAAAAATGTGCGTAATAAATGTAAATGCATGTAAGGAATTAACTATATACTTAACTTTAAATTTAACTTTTAGATTTTTTTATTTTAAAAGGGAAATAAAGAATGCAAAATCGAAGAATGTGAAAATTTTTTGACTATGAAATGCCATATTAATAAATTCAAAAATGAATTTTTTTTTCTGTAAAATAACTTACGACAAAAATCAAGAAGTAGCAGTGGGGCAGAATGCGCCATAATACCTTTCTCAGCACAGTGGCCTTGTTCACCAAGGTTTGTGTTTTCATAGTCATAGAGTTGAGAGAGGGTTGTAACCACAATTAAAGTAGCTTCCTTGACTGCATTGGTTTTCATTGGGGAGATGAATTAACATTTAAAAAATCCTGAAAACTCGTCATAATTCATTAACATTAAAAATTTAGAAACATTAAAACAAACATCAAATATCAACTAGAACATTATTTCATCCAGTTGTACTTAAATTTGACAAGTTTTTTGTAACACTTTCATTTTTATCTATCCATTTGTGTTTTAAATTAATTTTAGGAAGAACATGAAATAAAATTGTCAAGAAGAAAAACTTACCAAAATCAAGAAAATTAAATGCTTTCAGGAATTATTTGATGTTTTTTTTTTGTTACTTGATAAAATTTATCAGAATAATCAGTGTTAGTGTTGTAAAGGAGTTTGATCTGATACCTGGCCATTAACTTTGTACAAAATGTGAAAAAATATTGAATTTAAAAACAATAAAAAAATTATAAAAGTGATTCATGTGAACATAAACAGGCCTTGTTTTAAAGCATTATGGGTAGAGCGATTTACGTATGCCTAGAACAATTTTGGTTAAGCTTCTTTTTATCATTTTTTAACTTTTAAATTAGCGGTAACATAAAAAAAGGAATTATTTTTTAAAAAAACCACATTAACTTCTGAATAAAGATATGTAAAAATATTTGTTACAAAATTTGAAAGAAGTTAAGTTAAAAATAATTGTAGTAATTTTTTATTGCGACATTTCTTACCTTTTTATAGCAATCATATTTAACGCAATTTTATGCAACTTTTATCTAAATTTAGCAACATAAAAAAAGTTTGTCAATTCTTAACTACAACATTTTTTGCAAATGTTTTCATAGAAATTCAGTAAAAAAACTCTAAAAAAACTCTACATTACAAAAAACATTTATATTCTGTAATCTTTTTAAAGCATTTAAAAAGTTTTTTGTTTAAAGAATAATTAACAAAAGAGTTTGCATAAGTAAGACTTTTATATTTAATTTAACTTTTTTTTAATTTTAATAAAATTCAAAAATAAAATAATAATAATAAAAAAAAAATTAATTGTTAAAAAAAATTAATTGTTTAAAACAATTTTTCTCTATAGCTTTGTGTTTCTTTGTGATTTGTTTGAAATATAAAACATTTTTATGATAACATAAAACATTTATGAATTCCTAAACTATGTATCAAAAATATGCTCAAAGCAGACAACTTTTTTATATTTTTATATATAAAAATGTGTGTGTGTATATATATATATATATCAGGGATGCGGAGTCCGGAGTCCATGGAGTCCCTCTTTTAGTCTGGAGTCCGGAGTCTCGGGAGTCCATAACAATTTTAGGACTCCGAGACTCTTTTTTTTTTATCTTTTTTAGTTATTTATATGCTTAAAAAAAAACCTGATGGTCTTGTCACAAAGCACTGCAGAAGAGCACTTAACCTGGAAGTTCACCTCCTTCCTTACCAATTTCGTTCATTTGGCCAGATTAAGTACGGTTCGTAATTCCCTACTTATATGCAGTTATTTTTTAGACAACATTTTAAATTTGAGGATGAACAAATGGCGATATGCGAAACGTCACACGACAAACGCTTGTTAAGAGAATAAAGAAAACTTTTAAAAAGTGCAATAAAACTATTTTATATAAAAACATAGTAGCGTATATTGTTTTTTAGCTTGTAAGAACACAAACTATGTAGCTTGCCAAAAAAAATGCGTATAATTCAACATTTTCTTATTCTATAACTTATAAAGTTTATCAAACACATTAGTCATGGAATGTATTATGGCTAATTATGTTCATTTTGTAGATTGCTAACAAAATGAAAATTCTAATTTTAATAACGCCTTCTGAAAAATTGCAATGAAAGCGTTATGGTTTAGATACGAAAGCTACCAAATTTAACTAACAAATTAATGACATGCAATAAAAAACCAAATTTGTCTGTAAGTTTGCGCTATAAAGTCAAACTAACGAGCTAGACAATCGGTAAAAAACCTACTATGTCATAAAGAAGCCCAAAGATGCTTTTAAAATTACCTCAGCCAATAAATAATAATTCTTTTGCGCAACAACTCCTTTTACAAAAAAACTTGCTTTTAGTTTTAATGCATTTTCCTAAATCTTATTAATTTAATTCGACATATTAGAAATAATACCAGGAAACATGTTACAAAATTTTTTTTTAACAGCGTCATCAATTCATAACTAGTCATGTTAACGATTTTCTTAACTATGTTTTCGTGGGTTGTTATAAAAATAATTAATTTTGTGAAACATATATAACAGAAAGCAAATACTTTACAAGTTCACAATAACTTGCAATAACAATATTCTTTCTTTTTATTTGTGTGCAACAATCTCGACCAGTAATGGCCACTAACTATGCATCAGATACAATCTACAGACATTTTCATTGTACAAATAAAATTTTGAATGGATGTAAAGTAGTATGCTTTAAATGTCTTGTACCCGAAAAAAATAAAAGTAACAAGTTATGCGGTAAAGAAATTACATGTGCCGCAGAAGCTCGCATTAGCAACCTTATATACGACACTTATCTAGAAAACACGCAGAGCTCCTCATAACGTTAGAAAAAGAAAAGTTAGAGAAAATATTAGAAGAAAAGAATAAGAACCAAAAAAATATAGTCATCAAAGGCAGTAGCTCACAGCAATCCATATTAAAGTGTTTTGTACCGCAGCAAATTAACTTGCATATAGCAAAAGATGAATTTTTAGAAACCTTAAACAAGCTGGTTTTGGTTGAAGGACTTTCATTCCAGGTTCAAATTATTTTTTCTTTAATATTTATTTTTTAATTTCAAAAAAAGTCTTAGATGCATTACATTTTAAAAAATTATGTTTTTTTTGGCGAGTTTTTAAAAAACATATATTATTCTAAAAACAAATTCTATAGGCGTTTGATCGAGAACCTATTCAAAAGCTTTGCGGAAAAGTTGCATCTCATTATGGATTTAAAATGAATAGAGATAATATGAGAATTCAAATTAGCGATCTTGCCAAAAAGCATCGCAAACAAATCAAAAATAAAATATCGAAAATGTTAATTTATTTAAAAGTCGATTCTACATCAAGGCATATGCGCCACTACCTTGGTATAAATGCGCAATACTCGAACAATGATGAAATTGTTGTGATCAATCTTGGCACCATAGATACGAAGGGAAAACAAACGGCGGAATTTACTAAAAAAATTATTGAAAAGTGTTTAGATAAGTTTGGAATCAATAAAACTAATATTTTAGGCCTCAGTGTTGACAACGCGGCAGTAAGTATCATATTTTGAAATTCATCTATATCTTTTTTAAATGAAGAAAAAGTGTAAATTCAATGATTAAAATCAATATTTTCAGTGAATAAAATCATTAAAAAAATAAACTGTTTTGATGTTTGTTAAAATGTCAATAAAATCTTTTATATACTGTAACGTATATTCACTAAATTTTAAATTAACTATTGAAATCGTATTTAATATACTTAGGTGAATATAAAGTTGGTACGCGACTTCGGCATCAGCGCCATTGAGGAAATTGACGATGACGAAAGCGATTTTTCAGTAGAAACTGATGAGTTTGACGAAAATGGTAATTCTACAGCAGACAATGCAGGAGCAGTCTTGGCAAGTGGAGTTGCCGGTAGCATGAGTGTTATACATCTTCAAAGATGTGCTGTCCACACTTTACAGTTAGCCGTGAATGATGCATTGAAGAGGCCCACAATAAAAAATCTTATTAGTCATACGAGAGAAGTTGTGAAAACTGCAAGAAATTCTAAGTGGATTGACTTCTTCAGGGACCAAGCTACACATCTCGTTCCAATTTTAGATCTGGCTACCCCTTGGTCTAGCCAGTTCAATATGATTGAGAGGCTAATTAAGGTAAGTTATAACTTATAACTTACCTTAATTAATTTTTTTAACTTTAATTAAAACTTAAAAAGTTTTGAATAAAGTTTATAAAACTATTTTTCTTTTTTTATCAACCGGTATTTTTTCTTTTTTTTTTTCCAAACGGTATAATATAAATCCAATTATTTCAATATTAATGACATTTACATTACTTAATAATTTTTAAATTTACGTTTATGCAAATATTTCTTTAATAACCCTCTTCATTTAAGTAGTTAATAACATTGTACATATATTTAATGAATTTTTCTGTTCTTCTAGATTCGACCAGTAATTCAAAATTTGAATATGCAAAAAGAAGCTCCAAAAGAATTTAATGTGCAACCATATCTTTGGGGAATGTGGGAGGAATTGAGAGATATATTGCAAATAGCACACGATCTTACTATTCGTCTTCAGCGTGAAAACATCACAGCAGGTGAATTCCTTTTTGATTGGAATTCAATAAAGTGTGAACTAGACGGGAAGGACAGCGACTTAGCCAAAGATTTCCGGAAAGGAATGGATAATAGAGAAAGTGCACTACGCGAAAATTCGTTGTTTCTTGCAGCAGTTTACGTGGATATTAGGCATGGCTGTATGCTGACAGCGACTGAAGACAAGGTTGCTTTTTTTAATAAAATTTTATTTATATATATACATTTTATTTATTTAACTTTAAAAAGTATATATTCAAAAAACTATAAATGTTTCTATAGATAGCTGCAGCTGATGGACTTTGGAAAATTAATTACAAACTGATTCAACTGGCTAATAAAAATAAGAATGATGAACTGAACAAAACCAAAAATACAATAGCGTCCAACTCTTTAACAGTTCATATTGCAGACTCTAGTTCAGAAAATGAGGAAAATTGTCTTATTTTCATTAAGAAAATGAGGAAAATTGTATTATTTTCATTAATTTTACTATCCAGCAAATACAGGACAAATTAACTTCTGGGTTTAAGCAACCGTGGCGCAGTGGTAGTGCACTTGCCTAAAAAACAAGGGATCCGTGATTCAAACCCTATTTAGGCAAATTTTGCGACATTGGTTAGTAAGGAGGTTTGAATTTCCTGTTAATTGCTTTTCTGCGGGGCTCTGCGATATTAATGGTAGCCTATTAATTTTTCGGCATTTTCACATAAAAATTCAGGATAAAAAAAACCACATTTAATTTAAGAAAAAAATAAAAAATTCCAGTCAAAAAATAAAAAAAGTCCGGAGTCGGAGTCCATGATTTTTGTCATCAGAGTCCAGAGTCCCGGAATCCCGAAAAATCAATGGAACTTGGCATCCCTGATATATATATATATATATATATATATATATATATATATATATATATATATATATATATATATATATATATATATATATATATATATATATATATATATATATATATACACACACACACACATATATATATACACTTTTTTTTTACTAAATAATATTGAACTAAAATTAATATTAGAATAACAATTTAAAACATAACAAACTTTTCATAATATATTACATTTAAAACGTTTATAGTTATTTTAATTAATTGTTAAATTGAACAAACTAGCAATTATTTATTGCGGTAGTTAAAACACTTAACGTCTATAAAAAAGAAAAAAAAAAGTAAAAAAAAGAGAAATTAATGATGTCCAATTTCGCGTTAAGCTAATGCATTAAGCACTTTTTATTTAAAACAAGGCCTGATAAATACAATTATTTTAATGAGAATCACATTTCGAAAAAAAACTTTAATTCAAGTTGCAATAGTTTTGGTTTTTCTAAAAATTAGTAGATCATAGAGTTAACTATGCAAGAAAATTTTGTTTTCAGATTGACAATATTTTGATACTTGTGTGATTTCTTAAATATATCTTAATAGATTTAATGCCTGCTTTTAGACACAGAGAAAATATAAAGATCTAGATAGCATAGAAGACTAAATAAAAAAATGTAAGCAATCAAAACTCTTTAAAGATATTACCATTTTAATCAAAATACTGTAAAACCAAAAATCATTCACACTTAGAGGTTGTTCTTTAAGATAACAATACAAATGTAGGAAGATTAACATTTACAAACAGATGGTAAATAGTGAGAAAAGTAATTTAAATAAATTAAATTCAGACAAGATAATAATTGTGCTGAACCTGTATGTTCTAAATTAGTCTCATCAGATGGTGCTACTCAGAAAAAACATAAGTAGGACAATTTAACTTTAACTATATAAAACTATCCTGCCAAGGATAGTTTTATATAGTTAAAGTTATGGAATGGATGTCTATGACTAATATTATCTTCGTGGCGGCCTTTGTGGTGACCACCTCTTTGTGGCTCAAAGAGCCATTTAATTTTTTAATTTCAATTTACCCCCTCTTCAAGGTCATGAATGCTACTACAGTTGAGGAGACGACTTTAGTTGCGGTTAAACCTTCTCAACTCTATAACTCTGAAACACAAAACTCAACGAAAAAGGCTACAGTGGGGTGGGGATCAAAACATTTTTTATCTAATATAAAGATCTTCTTGGGTCCAATTTAGTGCATAAATAAATATGCATTAATAAAGGTCTCCTTAATAACCAGAAAATTATCTGAAAACTGAAAAATTTGCTACCATTTTAAAAACTGGAACATTAACTCTTACCACCAATATCAGCATATGAAACTTCTGGTTTTTCATCTGCTTGTAACATAGCAATACTGCTATCAGCTTCAGGTGGAAGTATATCAACAAGTGCATTGGAATGCTTGTGAAGAGCAACAGAAGAATTTGGTTTTAACAGCTCTCTATCGATTGTACTTAATATCCTTACATAATAATTGGAACCTGAAAAAAAAAAAAAAAAAAAAAACTAATTACACAACAATATAGTTAACTAAAACAGAAAACCCCTAATCTAAATTTCCAGAATTTGAGGTTAAGGAATTATAATAATTATTAATAAATATTAAAATTAACCATAAAATCAAGTTTGAAAATAAAAATTTAAAAACTTTTATTTAAAATACTTTAAAACATTTATTTTTAAATTTCCAAAATTTAAACAGATTGCTATAAAAACACATAAGAGTTGAAAAAGCTAAAACAAATAACCATAAACAAATGAAATTTACTAAGCAAAGGAAATACAATACAAAACAAAGTTTATCAATTTTAACACAAGTACAAAATGATTACAAATATTTCTTATATAATTATTTATATTTACAAGAGTTAATCAATGTATAAATTTTCTTGCCTCCACTTTTTTTAAGCAGCAATTATCAGCTGCCTCTCTGAGTTAGGGTCAGCATTTAAATTTTAAATAAAATAATAAAATAGCGAAGGCAAAACGATTGCTGTATTTAAATTCTAATTAAAGTTGTTAAAATAAAAACAAAAAACTAACTTATTTAATTTATTTAATAACTTAACTAATTTAATAACTTTAATACTAATTTATTAATACTAATATAACTTAACTAATTTAATAACTAATTTAATAACTTAACTAATTTATTAAATAAATTTTGGATAAAATAATTAAGATAACAACATTATTTAATTCAAATTCTAAATAAAATAGTTAAAACTACAACAGAAACAGTATTTTATTTAAATTTTATTTAGAATTTAAATAAAACACAACCATCAAGTCTATATAATTGGTATATCTTCTATTTTTAAATAAGCTGTTTGAACAAACAGTTAAAGTAAACAATGCAAAACTATAAATAAGTAACAATTTATGGAAAAATAATTTTACCATAGCTTAGGGGTAAATTAGCTTTAGTAAAGATGCATTTATATAACTGAAGAGAAGAAAAAATCTGATACAAAATTCTAACTTAATCGTAGGTAAAGGTAAAAAGAAGATAGGACAAATATTCGGTGGGTAATCCTACTAATGGCAGTATCACAATAAGTTAACCCAGTCCGAAATCCGATTAACCTAATTAAACATGGAATTAAAAAAAAAAAAAAAAAAAAAACTTAACTAAATTACTCAGCTTTTTAATTAAAAAAAAGAAAAGCAAAAAATTAATAATAAAGAAAGCAATCATTGGTTTTTTTATTATTAATATTTTTATCAAATAGTAAATAACAATAAATTAATTAAGAGGTATTCTGAATAGAGGTGTACCGGATATTTTTGCCGGGTAGTGAACTTTTCTAAAGTTCTGACATAAAGTGAATATGAAGAAAAAACAAGTCTTGCCGGTCTACAATAAATAGTATTCAAGATCTTATTTTAAAAAATGACATGGTATATGCGCTGAGAAAGTATAGAAAATAGTAATTTAAAAAAAAAAAAAAAAATAAGCTATAAAAAAATGATTTTTTTTAATGCATTGTTAATGCATATACCTGTGTTATTATTATATACCAGTTTTTTATTGATTTTATTTTTTTAAATATTGAACACTGTTTAATGTAAAATGGCAAAGCTTGTTTTTACTTCATAAACATTTATAGAACTTGAGAAAAGTTCATTATCTGGTATATCCGGCAAAAATATCTGGTACACATCTAATTTTGAAGTTTGAGCATAGCAACATTAGACATGCTATGCTAGATTTATAGAAATCAAAGCAAAAGTTAGATAACTAATGAAATCCATTTATTTCTTTTGATTTATTAGAAATGTTTCATGTAATAGAAAGAATTTATTCACATACCTGTTGTTGAACCTACAATTCCAGTATTTTGATCAATAGCTTCTAGAAATTGCCCAATAACAAGAGGTACAGATTGTATTCTTTTAACTTCTTCCTGAGCATGTAAATACTCCTTTTTAAGATTTTTTTGTTCATCTTTAATGTATTCTTCTTGAACTTCAAGAAACTCAAGTTGCTTTTGAAGCTTTTTGTACCTGAAATGGATTTGTACATTTATTACTTTTACATATTCTTTAACTGGCTGTATGTGTAAAATTTTTAAAGCAGCTTTTCATGCTTTCCATATTGCATACATAAATGTAAATATTAAATATATTGAAAATGAGCGCCCATTCAAAAGTGTTTATCTTTTGAATTTTGCCTTGTTTTATTTATTACTTGAATTACTATTTTGCCTTATATTCATTACTTCAAAATTTGTGAGTGTAAATGGTCACGATTGTTGACCATTTAAAAATATTTTTAATTAATAATTGTATTAGCAATAAAAATTTCAAATTGTCAATTTTGATTATAATAATAACAATAAAAAAAAGCACTAGATTGTTACATAACCATAAAATAAAGAAAATAAGGCCAAAAAAATATAGGTTAAACAAGTGTTTAATTTAATAAACACTTGTTTGCACCTTAGCTATCCTGACTCAAAAAATTAAAACTTTAATATATTTTGAGTGTACATTAACGTAAAGTTTTATTAAAAAAATTCTAATTGTAAAGGTATTTTCTTTTTAAATTATGTCTCCAATTGAGTAATTTTGTCAAACATTTTTATTGTTGGTTGTTGAGCAACATGTAAGGAGTGTAGATACATCAACTGTGTTAAATAGGAAAAACATGCAGTGAGTATTGATCAACCAAAACAGAAAAAAGCAGAAACTGAAACAAAGTGAAATTTTGGGTGCTCAAGTTTGGTGTCGAAACCAACATTTTGGCAAATATTTTACTGAAACCGATAGACATTTTGACTAGTCAAAATTAATTTCATTAGAAAATTTTATTTAAAAATGAAATTTTACATTTGCTGTTTTTTAAGCATGTATTATGCTAAAATTGATTACACGTGTTTCACAAATTGAGATTAATACATAGGTTGGCGATATAAGTTAACAACTGGAATTTTTTTTTTCAGTAAAACAAGATTTTTTCAAGGTTTTCTGGAAATAGTGTTTTTTTATTGCTTAATATATCTCCAGCTGTTGTAAATAACTTTTCCACATCAGTTTCATTTTGTTGGTGGTGATTTTAGCCAGCTTAACATCACTACTTAAATTGTTAAACAAACTTGTTTTCTTTAAATAAACATTATTAGTCAAAGTATTAAGCGCACTGCAATCGCTTGATTATTGGCGGTTTGCAATATTTGATTATTTTGAAGCAGATGGAAATGCACTATTTAATAACTAAAAAGCTAAGCAATTTGTGAACAATAGGTACAAATTTTTTTTTTTAAATAGTAAAATATTATGTAAAAATTCCCAAAATTAACTTGGTGAAAAATTTTCATTTTTTGGTATATTTTTGGACTGAAATTATGCTTCTTACCAAATTTATAAAAAATACCGAAACCAAAATTTCGGGATGGGTTCAAATTGAAATTTTGGCTGAAACATATGGTATATATAAATAACTAATTGTGTATACATTTAGTATATATAAAGAGCTCATTATTTTAATTATTAGCTTTCGGTATATTTTTTTAACACATTAAATTAAAGAACTTTTCTTTGATTTTAAGGTCTACATTTTTAAATGAATATTTATCTGTGGTAAAGCTACAGTTAAGCGGCCTAAAATAATTTTATTTTTTGCTTGTTGTGTGAGGGAGTGTTGCTACATCAACTATCTTATAGCCTGACTTGCAACGGAGTGCTGCTACATAGACTATCTTATAGCTTGCTGCTACAAGGAAGTGCTGCTACATCGACTGAGGGTTTGGCATGGGGCAGCAATCTTTTTTCTTTAAATATTTCAATTAATATTCCTATTGTTTATAAAGTCTCTACTGACGAGAGTGCAACAAGGGAAAAAATAAAATTATTTTAGGCTGCTTAATTGTAGGATAACCTTAGCTGCATTGCAAAACTCTCATTAATAAAAATTAGAACGTAAAAAAGTAATTTCTGAAATAGACTCATGGTTATTAACATACGTACTAATATATATATATATATATATATATATATATATATATATATATATATATATATATATATATATATATATATATACATATATATATGTATATATAACTAAATATATATAAGTATATATAGCTATATAGTATAATATGTAAAGTATATAACTATAAAATATATATATAAGTATATATAAATCCGCGTACTAATCTAGAGTAAACACTAAATCAAAAATTGAATCAATATACAATTGATATAATTTTTTTATACGACGACAACAACAAAAACAACTAAAATAATAATATTAACTGTAAGTATATAATAATAATAATAATAATAATAATAATAATAATAATAATAACAACAATAATTATAATAATATCAACAACAATGAAAACAACGTAAGAAACATGACTATAAATATGGCTGAAAATAAAATTTCACAAACTTGATATAAAGATCGTCTGTGTCAGGATCTGTGTTTTGAGCTAATAAATTTGATGTCATGCAAAATGATTTAGGGGAATTAAATGGGCATTTTGCCGATGGTAACAAGATTCCTAATTCGTCCATAACGGATACCCAGAAATTCCTAACGTTCTGTAAATTACAGCAGATTTTTTTGAAAGAAAAAGACTTGAACTGAATTAGGATCCAGGATCTTTGGAAATTTGCTGCGTCAGCAATCTCCGCCGCTAATGTTATAATTACATCTCTGCACTACATAACTAACAATAATTGTTTAAATATCTACGTAGGAGATCGCTGACCTATATAATAAATGTGTATTTCAGAAAAGTTCTTTTCAATATCGCAAGCATGAGAGACAAGTGGAAGAAAAAACGTATGCGAAGATTGAAGCGTAAGAGAAGAAAGATGCGAGAAAGATCCAAGTAAATTGTCACACTTATGTGCAGTTCTCTGGTTTCAAGATAAGTTCTCGCCATTACTAAAATTAAGACAATTGTTCACGTTTAAAACAATCTAGATATGAAGTTAATTTTGCAAATTACTTGAAATGTTAACAAGGCAGTTTAAGTTTTTAGTGACAATAATTTCAACTGGTTTCGATAAAGCTATAGAAAAAGAACAGTTTTAATTTGTTAGTGATCGTGGAATGTATCCAGTTATCATATGATATGCAATAAAGTGCTGAGCAAGAAATTGTTGTTTTTATTTCTTACTAAAATTGAGGTAGCTCTGTTCACGATTTGTCCATTTTTATTGGCTCTATGGTACGCGTTGGCTTTTAATTTTTTAAATTAATTTATTCCAAACAGCGCAGAAAGTTACTTTTTTAACTATTTGTCGTGTCAATTTTTGCTGTCTATTTAAAAGAATAGTCATCCCTGAGGTAAATAGCTGATAATTTTTTGTTAAAGTGATTTTACTATTCTTCAAATTTTTATCTTATGAAACTTAATAATTATTAATACTTTAACGTGCTAAGTAAGTGCCTTTTTTTTATTTTACTATGTTAATATTCCCGAAATGTTAATGATCAGTAAGTACGTATACGTTGACTCTAAAATTTTCGGAATTTTATTGTTTTACTTTTAAAGTTTTTTTGTTCTGAAAAGTTGTTTATTTAATTAGTTATAAACTAGACATATTAATTCAGCTACGCTTATAAGGTTGACTGGCGATGCTTGTTTTATAATTTTAAATTTGTAGATACAAATGGACAATGCAGCTGCATGCATAATGCGCTTTAGTTCGTATATTACAATGCTTTTATGGAATTTTTAAGATAAGATTGATATTTTTTAATATTCTTAACTTAATTTAGCTACATAAAAATAAGCTATCCGATTTGGAATCCCTATATAATTCCATATATTTGCTATGTTATGCAGTAAGCTACCAAGCCGCCCAAACCTGGTTTTAATATATTTTAGATAAGCTTTAATTTTATTGTAATGTTTTCAAATTTCTGCGTTTTTTTAAATTTTCAGTTATTGAGAGGTAGCTATATTTGTGGTACATCTAATGTTCGTTGATTTTACAAGTATACTTATACGTCCGTTTTACCTTTACCTTACGTTTATAGTTTTGTGTAAATTGAAGACCCGAGAATATATGTTGGTGTTTTTGATGAATAGCGTAGCGTAAATAACTAAATATATATTTACAATTCACTCAATTTTAGCAAATAGTAGTCTTGTGGTATATGTTATGCCATGTCGCTTGCCGACGCGGCAAATTAATAGATTCCTCTTAAGCGGATTTTGTTGTGTGTACTTTTATGTTATATTTTAAAGTTTTGAGCTCTAGTTTTTAGCGTTATGTCTATGATTGTTGTCAATGCGTTATATTGTCTATATATGTCTATGATTAAATATATAAATATTTGTCTGATTATTATAAAATTTTATTTATAAAAATTAGGAAGTGTGCCTTGATCCTTATATTTAAATATCAATGGAAAGAAATGCACGAACAACAATTACCGAAGAAACTAAAAATATGGTAGTGAAAAATGTTTAATCAAGGAAATATCCAGCGCTTGTAATTTAACTCGAAATGTTGTTAATCGCGTTATAAATAATATACCCTTCACGTCATCTACAGTAAAAAGAAAAAAAAACAAAATTAAAACTTCTATAAATACAAACATCGGACAGATAATATTTAATTCCGTTGCCTGAAACGATCCCGTAATTGAAAAAGAATTTCAAACGCAAATTTTAGAACAACACGATAAAAACGTTTCGATCTCGTTTGTTTCCCGTAAATTAAAGAAATTAAATTAAACACGAAAAAGATTAGCAATCATTCCTCAAGAAAGATTGAAACTATATTGAATCCAGTTTCCTTTAGACAAAACTGGTTTCAATAAAGTGCGCTCATAAGGCTATTCTCCAAAAGATAAATAAGCATACTTGACAATGCAAATAAAGGAGAAAATGTTAGCCTTAAGTGTTTAATTTCCAATTTAGGAGTTAAATGTTTCCAACAGAAAAGCGGCGCATACAATACACAATCATTTATTAATTTCATCAACAACAAACTAGTACTATTCTTTGAAGTAAATCCAAATAATATAATAGATAATGCAAAATTTCATAAAGCAGACTTCAATTGCTAAGAGAAAAAAATATTATTCTATTAAAAATATTACAAGTTTTTAGTACCATACTCCCTTGAATCGAACCCAATTAAGGAGTTCTTTTCAATGTTAAAATCCAATTTTAAATCCAAAAGAAATTACAATCCCGATATGACATTGAAAAAAACTCTAAAATATATATTTTATAACCTGATAATAATTGTAGTCAACAGTGTAATGTCTTTTATATAAATATGAGAAGTTGGTTCGAAAAAGCAATAAGAAGAGAGTAATAAAATATTTGAAATGATTTGTTTATTTTTTTAAAATAATGTATGATTAAAAAAATTTATGATTAAATAATGTATACTATTTTTTAAAACTTATGGAAAGTATCTAATCTAGAAAAGTTATTGATATATAACAATATGCTAAATTAAGTTTAAATGTAAAGAATTTCCACTAATTATTCCCCTTTTTTTTTTTTTTTTTTAAAAAAACAAACTTTTCGATTGCTATGATGTAATTTATTTTAATATTTTGCGCAATATTTTTCATTTAAAAAAAAATAATAATAATTTACAAAAATATATATTTGCACTTACAACTTTGCAAGCGTGCACTTATAACTTTGTAAACGTGCACTTATAACTTTGCAAAACCCTGTACTAAAACCCTCCCTCCGTTTATTAATTTTTTTATTTTTATTTTTTTTGTTTACAACTTTAATAAATTTACACATCGTTACGTTATAACTAACGTTATAACATAATCTCACGTAAAAATATAAGATAATAATACCACGTATAACATAGCATAATAAAAATTGGTTTAAGGTGGTAGACTGCTAAAAAAGTTAGAAAAAAACGATTTTTCAAAAGTGGCATTGTTTTAAACAGTAACTGATATAGAGTCTAAAAATATATATATCTTCGTATGAGAAAAAAAATTTAGAACTAATAAAAGTGATTTATATTAGTAGGGTAATTTTGTTTCCCCTAGCAACGCTCATAGCAACCGCTAGTTAAGGTTAGTAATAAAAAAAAAATTAAAAAACAAAGAAAAAATCCTAAAGCAACTAGGAAAGGGTTTGATAAAAAAAACAAAAATTAAGAAGAGCAGTATATAAAAAGGGGGATTTTAATAAGTTTGTATATTCAATATTTTTAATTTTATATGCTTTTTTCTCTGTTTTATTCTTCTAATTTTCTGGCAAAGATTGCAGGAGCTGTAATTGTCCAATTGACTTTAATTTTGTACAGAGATTCATTATAATAAGCTTTATGTCCTGAGATAAAAAAAATTTAGAATATAAACTTTTAAAACAACAAACTTTTTGTTCTTAATATCAGAAATTCGATTATTAATTGGGCGCTTTGAAAAATCTAACGATGCTTTAAAATAAAGAAATTTTCAACAAAATTTTTTATCTCAGGACATTTATCTACATTAAAAAAATAAAAATACAAAAAATTAGAACTTAATAAATTATACTTTTTGAGATATCTTTGCCAAGATTTTAGCCTGTTTTTGGCCTAAAATCACTTATTTTAGCCCAAAATATATATGAAAAAAAAAAAAAAAAAAAAATTAAAAATTATGAATTTTCTAATGTATTTATCATGTTCGAAGTAAAAAAATTTATTGAAATATTGTAAAATACAAAAATAATTTTTTTAGCAGTCTACCACCTTAACAAGTATATCTAAGTATAGCATAAATTAATAGTGTTTCTTATCATAAATGTTACCAGTATTTTAAAAAAATAAAAGAATAAAAATAGGAAAAGAAAAAAAAAGACAAGAAATTTTTTTGGTACTTCAGATATATACATGTTGTTGTAAAGGAAAACTCGTAGAAGTCTATGAAGACTTATCATCGAGTACCTCTTTAAAAGGTTAAATAAAGTCTATTTTATTTTTATATATAGTCAAAAGTGGTTAAACAATATACAATCAGTGATACACATTAATATAAATTTTAATGTTAAGTTTAATACATGTCGATATAATTGTTGATATTAAGTATGAGGTGTTTTAATTTATTTTTCAAGTTGGCAGCATTATTTAATAATTTAAGTTCTATATTTTTGGATACGGTACGGACCCCGGTAGGAAATAGAAAACCGTGAGAACTTTGTTGTTCTTTTGGGCAGTGTGAAGTTGCCTGTTGCTCTTGTCATATACCTATTAGAGTTTACTTGAAAGAAGTTATCTAAGAAATGCGATGGGACTAGTCCAAGTTTGTTCCTTAAGCATAAATAGAACATTTTGGTAGATATTGATTTGGTAAACATTTAGTGCGTTCAAAGTTTTTAGTAAGGGTTCAGCATGGGTCAGTTTATCTTTATTATAAACTAATCTTGATGGATGTTTTTGACTTATGTAAATAGTACTCAATTTGGATTTGTGTGTACTTGCCCATGTATGTAACTTTGGATGTAAGAAAAATAAAGCGATTTAAGATTATGTTGGGAAAACAAAGGTTTAACTTTGTAGAGTATGCCAATATTTTTTGAAATTTTGGTGTTAATTGAACTTATATGGGCTCTCCAAGATATATTTTCGTCAATTAGTATCCCAAGAAATTTAGTTGTTTCTGTTCTTTCAATATTTACCTTATCTATTTTTAGTGAGGGAAGGGTAGTTGGTATATTATTTTTTTGTTTTTTGGAATGAAACAATATGTATTTTGTTTTTTGTGTATTTAGTGATAACTTATTTAATTTTAACCATAAATTTAATCTTTTAAGCTCTTTGTTCATACATTCATAAAGGTCATTGATTGAGTTCGATGAATAAAATAAGTTTGTATCATCGGCAAACATAATTACATTAAGTTTTTCCGAGACTTTTGTAAGGTCATTAATATATGGAAGAAACAGAAGAGGTCCAAGAATGAAACCTTGGGAGACACCGCACTCAACTCTTAGTAGTTTTGAGTGTTTATAATTATCTGAAAAGACACATTGTTGTCTGTTACTTACACTCTAAGAAAAAATCCGTTATATACAACGAATTGTATCTGTCGCTATTGCACTAACGGGAAATCCGTTAAGTTAACGAATTAAAATTTTAACGAATTGAAGTTAGGAATAGTCCGTTGAATTTACGGATTTATTTCGTTAGTGCAACGAATAATCCGTTAAAATTAAGGAAATATTACACTAGGCAGCAAATTTTCCGCGGTTGTTATTCCTATGAAATAAATGTGTTAATAAGTTATTTTAGTGATTATTTCGTTAAAATCACTAAAATCTAAAATTAGAGAGACCAGAATTGTGACTTCATAACAAAATAATCCTTATATTTGTTAATGTTTGCATTTTTATTTAATTGCATTATTTTATTTCGATATTCTACATTAAAACGTTTTAACCAAAAATTGAAAACTAATCAAATATTTATAATATTTAATCCAATATACTTTAAATTACAATAAAAATACATAAAAAAAAAAAAATTAATACACTATACTCAAGCTAGTACATTTATATAAAAAACACACATATATATAATAGATGTTTAAAATAAACCAATGCCAAGATAGTTTTTGGTTGCTAGTTTTGGTTTGTTTGGTTTAAATAGGTTTTGGTTTTGAATACTGTTCCCAACGGACATTGTGACGTCCTAAGGACGTTTATAGAACGTCCCAAGTCTCGTCCGTATGACGTCCTTAGTTGGTCTCAAATGAAAGACCTGAGGACGTCTATTACAGACATTCTAATAACGTCTTTTCAAGATGTCCTAGGGATGTTTATTGTAGACGTCCTAGAGATGTCTTTTCAGCCAACCTATAGACGTTTCTGGCAGGTTTCATGTGAAAGACTTGAGGACGTCTTATTCAGACGTCCTAGAGACGTAAATTTACCTAGACATTCTTTTAAAAGTTATATAAAAATGCAATGATATACTTTACACACCTTAGAGGGCAAGTGAAGGTATAAAGAGAAATCAAAGTTCATAAAGTGTAATTTCATATATTTAAAATAAATTATTAACTTTACAAAAACTTGGAAAAATTATTCAAACAAAGTTACACTTTCCAAATTAAAAACTAATATTTTTTGTAGAGTATAATCGATAGTATATTATAAGTAAAAAGAAAATTACTGAAAAATGCAAAATAAACAAAAAACACAACAGTTGATTGAAGTTAATTAAGCCATCATTGATCAATATGGATATTGGTGGATTTTCTCTCGAATCGGTCAGAAAAATGCCTAATTCATCTCCCAATAAGCTCCATTTTGGTTAAGCATTTATTTGACTTTGAAGCAGCATCTAATAAAAACAATAAGACATAGTTCAATAAGATCATAAAATAAAATATATGTCATGTTTCATAGCCAAAAAAATTGAGAAAATTTTTTTTTTTTTATTAAAAGATCGTTTTTAATTTTGAAAGTAAATTAAACACAATAATAAGCTAATAAGAATACCAGTGATAGCAATACATAGACTTGTCAACTTTTTAAACTTTTTTTTCTTCTTTAGACCATTCATGCTGCATTCTGAAAATAGTATCTGTTGTCAGTCTACATATAAAAAAGATGATAAATGTCATGCTGTCAAACATAAATGTTAAAATTCAAACTTATGCTAATTACTTACAAGAGCAAAATATTTTTAATTGTATCAACTGAATTTTTACCTCCAATTAATGATAAAAGTTAAACAAGACTATAAATAATCCATTTAGTCTATATTATAGAAATAATTGTTCAAATAACCCTTTCCTACTAGTAAAGGATTAGTTGAACTTTTATTTCTATAATATAGACTATATGGATTGCATATATTCTTGCATAATTTTCTAGATTTAGACATGTAGTAACTTACCATATATTATATGTATTAACTTACCATATATGTTATTATATATTATTTAGTAATACTAATGGCTTTTAATTTAAAATAAAATAAACCTTATTGTTAAATTTTCTGTATAAAGCTTTACATAGAAAATTTAAAATAAGTTAAATAACATAAGTTAAATAACCTTCGAAATAACATAGCGTAATTTAAATTATATTTAACCATTTGCTTTGTCTACTAAATGTAAAGCTTTTTAAAAAATGGCATATTACACTTACTGCAACCAACTTTTATCTACGATGTAAATGTAAATGTGAGAAAAACGCATTCAAAACTTTATCATTTTCAAAATAAAAAGATATAATATACTGAAAATTTTTTTTGACTGATAGGAATATTTAATCCGTTGAATTAATCAAATTTCAAAGAATCCGTAAATAGTTGATTTTACTCCGTTAATTTTCTAGTTTTTGGTAACTAATCCGTTAATTTGACAAAAAAGCGCAATCCGTTACTTTTTTTAACGGACTGTTTTTAGAGTGTAGATAGTTTTTGAACCAGTCAAGGATTATGCTTTTTATCCCATAGCTTTCCATTATTTTAAGTAAGATATTGTGATTTACAGTATCAAACGCTTTCGACAGGTCTATAAAGATGCCTAAAACATACTGTTTTTTATCAAAAGAGTCACTTATGTTGTTAACTAGATCTAGGATTGCGTGTTCAGTTGAATATTGTTTTTGGAAACCAAATTGCTTTTTATTTAGGATTCTATTTTGGATTAAATACTCATACAATCTGTTATAGATTATTCTTTCGAGAAGGTTAGAAAAAGTAGGGAGTACCGAGATAGGTTTATAGTTATTAAGTATGATTCTCTTGTTTTAAATATTGGTACTACTTTAGCTACTTTTAACTTGTCCGGTACAACTCCTGTTTAATTCGAAGACTTAAAAATTTCAAATATAGGTTTATTTATTGTTGTAAAGACATTTGCCACTACCCTACTACAGATATTATCTATACCTGGAGTTTTATTTAATTTTAAGGAATTTAGAGCAACATTAAGTTCTTGGTAGTTCTTTGTATTTTAGTTCGCTCTGGATATCACTTAGGTATGATTTAAATAAATTATTAGGAGACTTAATTTTTGAGGCAAGATTAGGGCCAATATTAACAAAAAATTTGTTGAATTTTTCAGCAATCGTATTTTTGTCACTGTACTCTATATTGTCTATGATGATTTGAGCAGGTAAACTATTTGATTTAACTTTTTTGTTCCCAATTATTTCTTTTATCGTATTCCATGTTTTTTTAATGTCACCAGTTGCATTTTTTATTTGGTTAGAGTAGTAATTTTTCTTCGAACTTTTTTTTATTTTTTCAAATAAATTTTTGTATTGTTTGTAGGTATTTAGATTTTTTTCATTTCTATTTTTTAAATACTTGATGTAAAGTTTTTTTTTTTTTTTTTTTGAAGTTTTTTTTATACCTCTAGTAATCCATGAACATTGTAAATATTTTACTTTTAATTCTTGTTCTATTATAGGGAAGCGATTATCATAGTGCTTTAAGAATATTTCTGTAAATTCATTATAAGCAGAGTTGGTATGCCCAAGGTTGCATTCTTGGTAAATCCAGTCCCACCTCACTGCCGATAGTGAGTCTTTAAACTGTTGAATAGTAAAATTATTAATTTTTCGTCTATAGACTTTGATTTTGAAGTTATTATTTTTTGTACCTTGAAAAAAGGAAAAGTATATCGGAAAGTGATCGGATATATCCGTTTTGATTACACTTGCTTTTAATAAAGAATCATAAAATGAATTAGTCAAAATGTTGTCTATTGCAGTGATTGAGTTTAGCGTTACCTGGGTTGGTTGGTTTATTATAGGAAAGATGAAGTATTGAAATATATCGTCAAAAAAATTTTGGTTACAGCATCTTCATTATATTGTAGACAGTTTATATTTATGTCACCAATACAGAATAATATTTTGTGCTCTTCGTCATTTTTTAGAAATATTTGTTTTAGGTGATTTGAAAAGTTTTTTATATCACCTTCGGGTGGTCTGTAACAGGTGGGCACTATTATATTTTTTAATTTTTTGTTTATTATTTCAATTGTAAAGACCTCACTATCGGCATCAGAAACCGAAAGATCGTCTCTAATTTTAGTTGTCAAATCATTATGAATGTATGTCATAATTCCACCTCCTCGTTTTTGAACTTTTCGCTCATAAGATAATAGTTTGTAGTTTGGAATTATTAGGTTTGAATTTATTCTGGATGATTCGTCAGAACACCAAGTTTCTGTTAAGCAAATCATGAACAAATAATTACATTCTATAAGAAAATGCTTTAGTTTGTCAATATTGTTAATTATACTTCTTATATTTATGTGTATCACTGTAAAGTTATTATTTAATGATTTTAATTCATTTTTAAAAGTTTCTAATTCAAAAAACCGCGGGTTAAATTTATTTTCATTAAAAAAATGCAAATCTGGATCGTAAGAGTTATTAAGAAAAAAGTTATTAGCCGATTTCAAAACATTAAAGTGTTGCGTTTCGTAATCTATTGTTTGTTTAAGGGATCGTCCATAAAGTACGTACGCTCGGAGAGGAAGATGAGGTCTGCAAATGGCGTTTCTGAGATAAGGGGGCATTAAGTTAATTATAAAAGTATGGTAACATTAAGTTTAAAAAAATATCATATAATGTTGGGTTAGTAGTTTAAAAGCGTAGGTACTTTTAGGGAGGTAGAGAGTACTCAAAAAAGCGTACGGAAAATTGCGGGATGGAGGAGGGGTTCGCGAAAAAAAAGCGTACGTACTTTATGGACGACCCCTAATCATTAGTTGAGAAAATTAAACTAACGTAAAAAATATTTCTTAATTATAAGCAAAATTTTCTTACTTCCTAAATTCGCGACAAAAAACTTTATTAAATTTAATTGCTGCGTATTTACCTTGGTTGCGAAGATTTTTGACTTCTTCCCAAAGTTTCTTTCTCTCTTCCATCGTCTCTTTAGCAAAGTCTTCTTGTATATATATTCCACTTCCTTTTAAGTTTTTAAGTGAACTTAAAAGTCTTCTTTATACGATCCAATTCGATGCACTCGTTCCACAGTAATTTCAGTTGAAATTTTAAGGTTGTTTGTAAATATTTTTTTCACAGATTTCTCACATTCGCTCCAACTTTCTCCTGGTGAATCTTTTAGACCATCGACTCTAATGTGGTTACGACGAGAGCGGTTTTCTAAGTCAGTATTTTTTTTATTTATATTTTTAATTTCAAGATTATATTTCTTCCTTATATGTGTTAATTCCTCCTTTATTTTTTCTTCTTGAAAGTTAAGACTTTCTTTCACATCGTTTAAGTCTTTTTCAATATTTCGCATGTTTACTCTGTTACTATTTAATTCATTTTCTATTTTGTCGAGTCTATCAGTAATAATTTTTATAATTCCACTCACTATTTGTGTGAAATTCCTTTCTTGGTCTTTTAACAACCTTTCTGTTTCTTTAAGCAAAGTTCTTTTTTGTTCTTCAAACTTGTTGGTAATAATTTTTTCAATATTTTTGACCGTTATTTCCATTTTTTAATTAATATTTTTGAAGAGCAGTCAAAAACACCTGCGTTCGCGGCAAAAACTTTTTTCAAAAACTCATTTTTTTACTTGTTATCAACAAAAAAATTATATATCTCAAAAGTAAAAAAAAATTCAGTGAAAATAGGCCTTAAAAATTTGAAAATAATTTTCAGTCACCGAAAAAAACAAAAACTTTCAGTGTAAATAGGTTTTACAAATTGTCGACCTATTAAATCTCAATTTGCTAAAAATGAACTTTTAGTTTATTTTTCAACAAAGCTTTGGTTTTAATTATAGGATTTAATATGCTGAATATAAGTTTTATACTTTGCAAAGTATAAAATTTATATCAGCATATTAAATCCTATTGAAATTATGATAAAACAGCCTAACCCTACCCTAACAGCTGTTGGAAAATGCGCTTTTGACCGTAAGTCAAATGAGCTTTTGACTTGAACATGTATAATTTGTATGTCGAATAAACGAAGAGAGAGAGTGAGAGAAAGAGGGGTTGGGGGGTTGGTTGGGGCATTGAACATGCCCCCCCCCTCCTTTAATAAATTTCAGAAAAAATCTACCCCCCTCCGTATATTAAAACCCCCCCGTTTATTAGTTTTTGATTAAAATTCCCCCCCCCCCCCCGATGTATTCGGCACTCGAGAGTGCACACGTAGTCTGACTTGAACATGTAAAACAGACAGGTGTTGTACATACATCGACTGATTAAATAGCTAGAACACGCAGGATAAGTTCGGTTATAAGATATTTTTGATCGGTCGGTTTTTATACTATATTAATATAAATAATATTCAATAAATAAGCAATATTTGATAATTAGGGTTTTATACTACAAATATAAAACTTGGGTTACCATTATGTCAAATTAATGTCACGAGCGTCACGATTACTTATTTTTAGTTTTTATATTCAGTAATAAATAAAGGAAAACATACTTTATAAGATATTGTATTATTACTGCTTTAAACAACAAAGCTCTGCAGTGACGAATATATATTTAAACAAATAATTTATCTGCAATCCATCACGATTTATAAAGATAAACTTTAAACTTTTTCTTTTAAACTTACTAATGTTTAGTGTAAATTGTTAAACAATTCAGGATTCCAAAACTTTTCTTGATCATAATGAAATTTAAACTTTCTTTTTTCATATTCACTTGTCATAATATAATTTGAGCCCGTTTTAATAATCTGATTAGAAAAACCGCGTGTACCGATTATATCGGTCTGATTAGAAAAATTGCGTGTACCGATTATATTAGTCTGATTAACAAAGGAACCTATAATTTCAGACTGATTAGAAACATCGAATGCATGCATACCCAATAAATAATATTTATCTAATCCTTCATAAATAGGTTTAGGACGCCATAATCGAGTGGAATCTTTTGCTGGCAAAAAAACATCGTCACATTTAAAATTTTTTAAACAATGGTTATTACCTTCTTCAACAACCATGCAAGTTATTTCTGGATTGTTTTGATTTCTTTCCGAATTTTTTGGTTTATTTTGAACTTCTTCGTCTTCTTCATCACAAGATCTAATATCAATTTCAAACCCATCTTGCATTAAAGAATCTTGTGAAGAACAAATAGACGATAAAGAATCTTGTGAAGGAAAAGCAAACGATAGTATAAATGATTCCTCCTTAGGAGTAATTAATTTTTCATCAACAACTGCTTCTTCAATACTTACTTTTTGATTAAAATTTTTTGGAATTGAGTTTCTCATTCCCATTTTGATTGCAATTCTATCAAGATAAGATATCGAAGACTTCATATTATTCATGAATGTATCTAATAGGTTATAGTCATTTATGTAGTCTCTTGTACCAATAGCAGTACTTCTTTGAGCAACACTTTTACGAGTAACTAAAGATAAATATTTTTATAATTTTACATTTTTATGATTGTTTTTTTTTTAAACCCATCTAACCCAGCTAACTACACCTAACCCAGCTAGCATACATACATTAGGCCAACCTATGTAAAGCCACCGCAAACGCCGGCTGCTTTTTTTTGTTGATGCAAATCCAACGTTGATCTAATGTCATGTGTTTAACAATTATATCAATGAAAAGATTGTTACCGAGGAGACTAAAAATAGCTTGCGCAAAAGCATCGGTATGTAATTGCAAAAAGCATCGGTGTGCAATTGCAAAAGCATCGGTATGTAATTGCAAAAGCATCGGTATGTAATTGCGGAAGCTAATTTTAAGTACGTTAAAACATCGCAAAAGTTGATTGTTTTTACAATCTAAACCCATTGTTGGTCCAATGTATATAACCCAACATTGATTAAATGTATATAAATCAACTTTGTTTTAATGTTTGGGTCATTACATTTATGATGAGCCAAACCTTTTTTCGGGTGGAAAGGTTTGGCTCATCTCAGATTTTCTTGAAGTTTACACCTCCTATAGGTTTTATGAGAAAAAAAAATTGTTCCTAAAAATTTCAACTCATTATTTCGAAGCTTTCTAAAATTATGCTTTCTAAAATTAACGACTTTTTAATTTAAAGACAATAGATTAATTTATTGTCTTATTCAAGTTAATTAAAAGTCATTAATTTATTATCTTGAATAAGACAATAAATTAATCTATTGTCTTATTAAAAAAAGCCTTATTTTTAAATCCATATAGGGGAAGTGGGGGCATAACCGCCCCCGTAACGTTTGGAATAATGTTATATGAAAATAAAAACGAAATGTGTTTTTTTTAGCAGTTTATTTCAATAACCACATCATTAAGCTTTAAATTGATGCATTTAAGAAAAAAATTAAACAGGTTTTGAAAATGTTATTACACAAAAATTACACTTAGTGAAAAAAACAGTTTTGCCCCCATTGTGAGGCACAACCGCACCCTCAAAAAAATCGATGGGGCTACACCTTTCATGGTACATTTTTTTTACAATTTTCACAGCTCAGATTATTTGATAATTTTGTTGCATGTTTGCATATTGTGCAGGCATTCTTTGTGTTTACATTTTGAGTTCTGCCCCAGAAGAGAGTTTTTAGAAAGAATTCAATTTTATAGATTAATTATTAGATTATGGTATTATCAAAAATGACTTTCACTTCATGAAATAATGCTGATAACATATTTTTAACACTAAAATTAAATATTGCTTAATTCTCAAAAAGAAGGTCAGGAAAAATATGATGTAAATATAATATTTTTATCAAAACAAAAATTATTATTCACAACTTCTCAGAAACTTAACAGTCACTCTTTTTGACATATGCAAAATGAAGGAAACTGTTTTAATAACGCGTGGTATGTTTTTTGCCATATTAGATAACATTTTTTGAAGAGAAATGTTAAAAAACGGTTGTGCCTCCATATGCGGTAATGCCCCCAATTCCCCTACATAAAAAACTATTATCTTAAATACTTAAAAATCAATATAATGGCAGTAATCTAGGTCAACTTTTAAAAAAGTAAAAATTTATCTTACAAAAATAGTTCTTTTTGGCCAATTTAAACTTCAAAATTACAAAAAAACAAACAAAAAAGAAAACACTTTAAGCTAAAAATTTTATTCTTTATAAAAGCAGAATACACAAGAGAATGTAAAAATTATGCTATTTTGTAAAAATATAGGTGGTAGGCATCATTTCTGATAAGTTTCGTAACATTGGATTTAAAATTGTAGAACTTAGATCGCTCTAAAAAAGCCTCCAGCCTTAAAACGTTCAAATTAGGTCCATTTAAAAACTGAAAATTAGCTGAGTGCACAGTCAATTTAACACTTGATCATTTAGGAATGTATCTTCAATATAAGAAAATAGAAACACAAAAAAATAATTTTGGCATGTCTTGCATCTGCTGATATATCTGAACTTAAATTTTTTATCTAGGATTTTTAAGTTCAAAATCATTGCCAAAATCTCTAAAAATTGCCAAAATCTCTAAAACGGATCAAAATTTAAATGCAAATTTTTTTTTACATTATTCTTCTTGAATTAAAAAATTCTTATATTAAATTCAAAAGTAACTATTTTTAAGTGGGGCTAAAAAAAGTAATGGCCAAGTATTACTTCATTTTATAATAATACAAACTTTATTTAAAGTTATTGAATATGTATGATGCAAATACAAATTCGATAAATGAAATAACATAATATGTAAAAGTATATTATACTTTTATATTTAGTAAAATAATAACAAATATCTTAAGACTAAGAGAGAAAGGTATTGTTGTGATATAAAGTTAATAAAAGCATTTAGTAAGTTTTTGAAAATCTGAAAATATTTTTTAAAAGTTTAGTTATTTTTTTGTAATTGTTTTATGTGACAAAAAAATTGTAATGGCCATGTTTAACATGTTTTATGTTTATACAAGTATAAGACAAAAAAATTGTAATGGCCATGTTTAACATGTTTTATGTTTATACAAGGATTTATATTTTTGATAAAAACTATAACAATTATATAGATTAGTTGTTTTAAAAAAATTTCTTCAATCAATTAATGAAAGAACCGCTTTAAGAATGAAGTTATGCCCGGATCCAAAAAATTCTATAACTTGTTTTAAGAAAGATGAAACGATTGAAAACAATACCATCATTTTTCAATCAACAACCCAACATTCAGGATGTTGGGTTGTTCCCCATTAAAATCAGTGTCTATTTGAGACAGATCCAGTAATGGAAAAGAAGCGCCAATCAATCAGCCGTACTTAAAAGTAAAAATTGACTCCAAAACCAAACAAGACTCCAAAAAATTAATGCTTTTAGCATGGTGGAGCATACATCAAAATACATATTAGGAATTGCTTTCCACTAATACAACTGTCACTGCAGAAGTCTATTAGGCTCAACTAGAAAAGCTTAAGTAAAAACTCTCAACTGATTGTCCAGATCAACACAAAATTTGTTTTTTACTTGACAATGCTCGTTGACAAACACATATTGCAAAATTAACTCCGCAAAAATTATTGGAATTTAACTTGGAGATATTACTGCACTCGCAATATTCACCTGACTTTTAAAATCTAAACTACCTGAACAATCTAGGTAGTTTAGATTTTAAAAGCAAGACCCAAATTAAAGCATACCTAAGTGACTCTTTTGCTCCCAAGCCTAAAAAGTTCTATTCAAAGGTCATCCATTCTTTGCATACGTGTTGGCAAAACAAACAGTCACAGACAATAGACAATAATAGATCTCATATAATTTATTAAGTTTTAATTGTTTAGTTTATATCTTATTAATAAAATACTAAAAATGCAATAGTTTATTGAAGTAAAAAAAAGTTATGAAAATCTGTTTAATATTTATACTAAAAATACAATCCTGAAATACAACCAGATAAAAAATTTAAATAATTTATTATATGCTAAAAATAATTTATTACCACTTGAAACTCTTGACTGTCTCCATTCATTTATTGCTGCAGCAAAAGATTTTTCATTTGATTCTTCATCATAGTTCCTATTCAACAATGAATTAGATGGTGTATTAGAAACTTCCATTCGATAACTGTTAGATTTATCAGAATCAATAACTGTAACATATGATGAATCAATAGCTGTAACATATGATGAATTGGTTTCTTCAATACTAGAAATTTTAGAAGATTTCTAAAAAAAATAATATCAATTGTAAAACTGAATAAAAAAATTAATAAAATAAATTAAAACAAAAGTAAAAAATTTTAATTTTTGTTTAGAAAACATAAACAAAAAATAATTTTTTTGCAAAATTATTAACAAATACTTCTGATTTATGAATATTTGAAGAAATGCATGCAATTTATTTATTTATTTTTTTACTTAGTTTTGGTACACATTATGTGAAAACCATAGCAGAACAATTGCAATATGTAGTAAAACCATACTAAAGTAATTGAAGAGCACACTGAAAAAAACAGCATAGTCACATTTAAAAAGTTTTGAGAAAGTATATTGAATTTTTATAAAAGTCTTGGTATAATTTTAGGGAAAAACTTTTTTCTATAAAAATTACCAAAATTTTATTATAAATTAAACCTTGAATAAATTAATCAAGAAATGTCTTTTTTTTCCTAATTTTTAGACCTCTTGGTTTTTTATGAAGATTTTTATAAATGATCAATATATACTTTCTTAAAACTTTTTAAATGTGACTATGCCATTTTTTTTCATATACTCTTCAATTGTGCAGAGTATTAATCTTATTGACCTACTGTGCAATGTTAAAAAGTCAACTTAGTTGTTAGCATGCTGCTAATTGTAACTTATCAATATCTTGTAGTCGCAGGACTGCAGCTTAAAAAAAAAAACTTTGAATAAATAAAATAAAAGTCATAAGCAGCAATAATAAAATAAACATCATTAGCAATAAAAAAATTATTAAAAATAAAATATGAAAAGACAAATATAAATAAAGTTAAATATAAATAGGGCTGTACCAGATTTTGGCTCCGGCTCCTGCTCCGGCTGAAATCCGGCCATTTTTACAAATTCGGCCCAAATCCGGCTCCAGCAAAAAATTAGCAAATCCGGCGTAATTTTAGCCAGAGTTTTGAATTTTGATCAAATATTTATTACATTTTTTTTGCCTGTGTTTACTTAATAATTTATTTACTTAATATTTTATTTATACAAATCAATTTTTTTTATAATTCTATATTTTATGAACTTCATGTTTGTTTTGGTATCTGTATTTATATTTATAAAATACTAATTATATTTACAATTTAATAAGCTTAGCCTAATTTCAAACAACAATGCAACAAAAAATTCTGAAGGGAAGACACACAATATTTTACAATGATGCAGGTGTAAAGACTATGATGTCAACCCTAATCAAGTCATTGGATGAGCTTTTTAAAAGCATTGAAAAGAGAAACCTCTTTATATAGTGATGACACTGGTTGATCCACAATTTAAAACTAAATTCTCGTCATTACAGGCAACACTGACAGCTGAAAAAGATTGAAATCTGAACATGATAAGCAGAAGACAAAACTGAAGAAAATCCAGCAAAATAAGCCCACAAAATAAGTTTTTCTACGTCCGCTGGTGGCACAGCACATGAACAACAATTACTAAAAGGCATTGACACTCAGCTAAGCCAATATCTGGAAGAACCAGAAATAAATAGACAAACTGATCCACTACAGTGGTGGAGTGAAAACATCCCGGAAAAAAAGTTCAATAGAATTTCTATAAATTTTGAAACATATAGTCTATAGAACTTCTATAGAATGTCTATTAATTCCTATAGAAATTGCTATAAAACTTTTTTAATAACAACAATGAAATTCAACAGAAAACAGCTGTCACTTGGTATTCTGAATAGTCCACATTGTTGACCATTCTCAATACCAAGTAGGGATGTACAAGATTTTGGCTCCTGTAATTTTGTTTCGAAATCCAGCTCCGGCTCGGATTCTGACTAGATCTGTTAGTAGAAATCCGGCAAATCCGGCTCCGGCCAGATTTTGAAAAATTAAATCTGGTACAGCCCTAAATATAAATATAAATAAATATTCAAATAATACCAAATGACTAAAAATTAAAATGTAAACAAATAAGTAATACAAACAAACACAAATTTTGTTGTTGTTGTTTATCTCAAATTTGCTGTTATAAAAATGTACTTACTATTTATGAAGACTTTGCAGTTTAATATGACAAAAAAAACAACAACATCAATTAAAAAAGAAGGTTAAAATATTGTCTAGTGAAAATATTTAAATAAATTGATTATACAATGTTACAAAAAAACAACAAAAAACTATCTGTTTATCAAATTTTTTTCATATTTTTAAATTAATTTGAGCCAGCTGAGTCTGAATATGACATTTTTTTATTGCATCAAACGTTTGACCATAAATAAAAAAAAATCAGTTAAACTTATTACTTATATTAATCCTATTGTATGAGTTTATTTACTATGTTTATAATGTTGTATTATGTTACAAAACATAATACTACATCACCTTACATACATATATTATATAATGTTACATTATGTTGTAATGTAACATTCTCTAACAATTTTATAAAACACTAAAAGTGAACAGTAGAACCTGGTATTCTTTTATGAAGTTTGTTGTCATCACATACCAAACACCAGATGTAGTCACCCATTACATCTGCATCCCATCTACCCTGGTATATTTTATCCATTTCAAGAATATTCTGATGAAATATCCATGCTCTTCACTCACCCAAATTTGGTCTGAAAAATTCTGAATTTGCAAATACTTTGCAAGAGATAAGACTCAACAGAAGAAAAGTTACTTTGAAGACCACGAATATTAGTGCATTCACTAATATTTGTGGTCTATCTAATATTCGTAACCTATCATTATAGCTTTAGAGAACTTGGTGATGACAATGGTTTTTTGTATTTTAAAGTTTTTTGTACTTTAGTCATTTTAAATTTTTTAAAGAACTTGACTCAAAGCATAGATAATACTCAGTACTTTATTTAATAGTCCAAGCAATTGCCTAATTACTATTAATAAACCCTCATTTATTAATAGTAATTAGGCAATTGACTTTTTATTACAACTATGCAAAACTGCATATAGTCATTGACAATCTAGAATTTATGGTCAATGCTTTTCAAGATAAGTTTGACATTTGTCTTATTTTAATTGTTTATGCAACACAGAGATAGCAAAAAGTGACCAACGGAGCCGAACAGTTACATAGACCTGAGAGATGTGAAAATAAAAACAGATTGTAGATAGTGTCGTTGAAAAATCATAAGAAAATATAAAATATGTGGTAAGACTTTTGTGAAGTAGAAGAACGAAAAATATCCATTCTTCGTGCTATGGGAGCATGGGGAGAAACAACTAACACTCAAGTCACTTTGTGTGTAGAACATATGCAACAAAGAACAAATATTTGATCTAATGATTTTAGAGACTGTTAATGTCTACAGGTGTGATGATGTAGTGCATTAGTATATTCCATTTGGTCGTCTAGTATGGTCTCGTTATGTCTTCGTTCACTTTCAAATCGGGTGAATAGAAAGTTAAACACACTCACTTCTTGCGCTTATAGGCTAGCACATCAGAGCCAGACAAAAAACCTACAGAATGGATACAAAAAGTGACCAACAAAGCCATCCAGTTACGTAAACCTAGGAGATGTGAAAATAGAAGTAGATTGTAGATGATGCTATTGGGTAAAAATCATAAATGAATGTAAAGACTATTTTCTAGGAGGAATAAAATTTTAGGACTCAGGGAGAGGGTGAACAATAACTCATGCTCTAGTCATTCTAAGCAAATGATAAAACAATGGTCTATGAGTAAACAAGTATGTATAAATCCCTTGGTGTATTAATGACTATCATGACTAAAAATATCATATAATATAAAATAAAATAAGTAAATAAAAAAATGGTAAAAAATAATGGTTCAGGCAATATAAAAAGAAAAAACAAAACATACGCGTTCTACAAGGTTCAAACTCTGAATCTTCAGATTATGACGCAGCACACTAACCACCACACTATAGTGTTGATATGTAAACATTAAAAAGATGTTTATAAATGTGGTATTAATAATGTACTAAACAGTAAAAAATTGGAAACTGACAACTCCCTGTGTATCAGCAAAATATTTAAATATTGTGAATTAAACAAATATATAATAAAAGCTACCAAAGCGTTAAAATATATAGGTACAAAAGGTAAAAAAATGTTGGTGCCATGATAACCAATTAGAATAAAGTAGTGGATAAACAATGATCCTCCTTCTCAGGAATGCGTTGCGATCACCAATGACGTTTCGGGAGCCCAAGATCTCCACTAATGCCACTTGTCAGGGGCGTGTTCTTGCAACAGATCTCACCATCTGCACTCTACGTCATCCTAGTCAATATTGCAATATAATAGGACTACACTACAAAACCAAAAAATTCCAATCCCTATCCCAGTTTTAAATACAGCTCCAACATTTTTAGAGATCTTGTTAGGGTGGCGAGGGATGCGCGTGGTGTGGCCATAAACAAATATATAAACACATATAAATATCATGTACACACATATAAACACTAGAAGAGACAAATGTGTACACATGCATATATGTGCATGTATTAAAACAAACAATATAAATGTATAAAAATATCATTAAGCAAATAAAAAATATTGAACTAATAATTAAGAGTAACTTAACTTTTTTTTTTTATGGCTGTAATATGTCTTATAAATTACATATATCTTATACCTTATATATTTCATTTTGAATGTATGTATACTAATACATACATTCAAAATGGCCAGGAAATTGTATTGAAAGAACTCAAACATTTTTATTACAACAGGACTTTTTATTACAACTATGCAAAATTGCTATATGCAATTTTGCATAGTTGATCTAAAGTTATGGTCAACATTATTTAAGATAAGTTTGACGTTTGTATAATTTTTCAGCCATGAAACAATCCAGATATAAATGCTCTAGACAGAGTAAATATATCAGTAACAGCCCCTCTAATGTTGACAAAATAACTCACCTTGTACATGAAACATTTAACAAAATGATAGTTGGTACACTTAATAAAGTCTTCTATGCAGGGTTGGCAACAAAACCCAACCCAAAAAAACCTGTCTCAAAAAAAACAAAAAAACCCAA